ACTTTGTGGTCTATCATGTCTGATTTCTTTTACTTAGAATAATATTTTCAAGTTTCCTCCATTTCATAGCTCGTATCAGTACTGTATTTGTTTGTATGGCTAAATAATATTTATTGTGTGAACATAACACATTTTGTTTATCCATTTATCAGATGATGGACATTTGGGGCTATTATGAATAATGTTGTTATGAATATTTACTTACAAGTTTTTATATAAACATAAGTTTTCAATTCTCTTGGGTAAATACCAAAGAATGGGATTGTGATATCATTTGATAACTTTATTTTTAACTTTAGAGAAACTGCCAAACTTTTTTTCCAAGTTGGTTACACCATTTTACATTCCTACCAGCAAGGTATGAGGGTTCCAACTTCTCCACATTTTCGTAAACACTTGTTACGGTTTATCTTTTTTATTGTAGCCATACTAGTGGGTGTGAACTGGTATCTTCTGTGGTTTTGATTTGCAATTTTGCTGATGACTAATGATGTTAAGCATCTTTCCATGTGCTTATTGGCCATTTGTATATTCTTTGGAGAAACGTTTATTCAAATCCTTGGCCGATTTAAAAATTGGGTTATCTGTTTTTTTTATTGTGGGGATGTAGATACTCTTTATACACTTTGGATACAAGTCTCTTATGAAATATATGATTTGCAAATATTTTCTCCCATTCTGTGAGTTGTCTTTTTACTTCCTTTATGGTGTCCTTTGAAGCCCAAATGTTTTTATTGCTGAGAAAGCCCATCTCCCTCCCCTGTTCGGCCTTGTCTTCACAGCACACACCACCTTTAGACTGCTACATATTTTACTTGTGATCTAGTCTCCTCCCATTAGACCATAACCTCCAAGGGTAGGGGTCATTGTCTGCTTTGATCATTGAACTATCCCCACTACCCAGAAGAGTGTTTAGCGCTCAGTAGGTGTTCAATACATGTTCGTTGAATGATCACATGAGGGGACAAGTACGTCCTCCTTCAAGTCCCAGCTCAAACACAACTTTTCTTTGACGCTTTTTCTGATCCTCTTCCAAGAGATTATCATAGGATTTGCCATGTTTTATTGTTATTGTTTGTGTTACAGCGTCTTCCCCAGTAGGTGTTAAACTGAGTTCTGGGAGGGTGAGGAGCATGCTTTATTCATCACTGTAGCACTGGGGCCTGACTCCGTGCCTGGGAAGCAACAATCATCTGGGAACATGGTTACCAACCGCTTCTGGAATTTTAGCCATGAGTGGTTATGGCACTTTGGAAGTTTGTTTCGCATCTGTCGTCTTCTTGTTTACCCTCCCGTGATCAAAGTGGTTGGGACTATTATTGTCATCTTCACTTTAAATTAGAAGGACACAGTACAGGGAAGTTAAATTACTTTCTAAAGATTACATAGGGAATACAAGTCTAGGCTACGAATGAAAGTTTAGAGCGCTGATGTTCAGCCATCAGTGTTCTAAAGTAATGTGCTCTTTCCTGAGCTTGCTCCTGTAGGTGCTAATTAATGAATCAAGGTCATGCTCTTTCCTACTCTAAGGCCACTATTCCGTACTGGTAAGTAAAAGGAAAACGGACCAATTCTACAGAAAACCCTAGAAGGAAACCTACTGTCGTTTTAAACTCCCCCTTTAACCTAACTTAGAGAGAGCCCTTTGTTTCCTTTAGCTTCCATGACCTCTGCTCCTTTGACAACACGTTCCCGCAGAGCGAGCCGCCAGTGTTTCACAACTAGGTACCCTTTGCTATTGTGCCGTCACTTCCTCCCTCTCCACTACTCCAAAGACTCAAGTTTGAGCCTGATTCTGCTGCCAAGTCATTGAACAGGCCTGGCTTTTCCTAAGGTTACATTAAGAGCTAGTAGGGTTTGAAAAACCTGAAAAGAGAGACTGTATTTTATCACACCTCTCCATATTCCATTAAGGAGGTGATACTTAAATACAGTGGGGCCTTGACTTACGAGTGTCCTGACTAACGAGTTTTTCGAGATACGAGCCGTCTCTCAGCCGATTTTTTGCTTTGAGTGGCAAGCTAAAATTTGGGTTACGAGCAAGCTTCAGATACCCCACCGCCGTCACAGTGAACACCAAACATCAGCCCAGCATCACGTGTCTCACTCCTTCACTTTAAGCAGTTAGCTCTTAGTTGAAGCATCAGTGTTGTGCTCGCATTTGTGCTTGCAGTTGTTTTGCAAAACTTCGTTTTTTCAACCATGGATCTGAAGAAAGTAAGTGCGAAGGACAGTGCTGAGAAGAAGAAGCGGATGATGTGCGTTGAATTAAAGAAAGAAATTATCGAAAAACATGACCAAGGTGTGTGTGTAATCGACTTGGCGAAGCAGTACGAGCGTAGCACTTCCACGACCTGTACCATATTGAAGCAGAAGGAGTCGATACAGGCTACAACTCCAGCCAAGGGCGTTACAATAATTTCTAAACAGCGGACATCTATCCATGAAAATATGGAGAAGCTGCTAATGGTGTGGTTAACGGAGAAGCAGCTCGCAGGAGATACTGTGACGAAGGCTACAATCTGCGAGAAGGCACGAGCTATTTACGCTGATTTGCTGCAGCAGACCCCAGGCACTTCAATAGACGAGGCATCGGGCGAGCCGTTTAAAGCCAGTCGGGGCTGGTTCGAAAATTTTAAAAAGAGGACCGGCATTCACTCCGTTGTCAGACATGGTGAGGCAGCGAGCGCGGATATAAAGGCAGGTGACATCAACGAGCTCACCGAGGAGCACTCCGAGGAACTGACAACGCAGGAGCTAAAGGAGCTACAGACTCAGCAGCACACGGAGGTTTTGCAGGAAATAGATGACATGGAGGAGGAGGAAGAGGAGGAGGAGGGGGAGGAAGAGGAGGAGGAGGAGGTTATCTCTATAGGTGAGATAAAGGAAATGTTGGGAATGTGGGAGAAACTTTCAGACTTTATTCAAAAGAAACACCCAGAAAAAATTGCACATGGGCA